ACACTTCCTGTGTCTCCTCCAGTATGGACCCACCTCTCCTATGTCTTATCCAGTACTGACCCATCCTGCTCCCGTGTCTCCTCCTGTGTAGCCCCTCCCCTCCTGTGTCTCCCCCTGTGTAGCCCCACCCCTCCTGTGTCTCCTGTGTAGACCAGGCCCTCCTGTGTTCCCAGAGTGAACCCAGGTTCATGTTCCCCTTCATCAGCTTTCTCCCTGTGCTCTTTCCATTGCAAGTTTTCAATTCTGCTCCTCCTCATACCCATCTTTAGCAACAGGATTCATTCTGCTAGACCCTCAAACACTCTGACACTATCTGTTTACCCTCATCCTTAAAATAAAATCAGAAAACTCTTTCTGGTTATACAGTCTTCTAGGAGAAATTCAAGCCAGCTGTCTGCACTTTGCTTTTCAAAAGTATGCTATCTTTCTTTACAGTTTGGGGGAATATGGAGGTGTTCATGCCAACATGGAACTCAGCTGTGCCTTGAGTATGTTTAGCTTTTTTTTTTTTTCATGGCATAATTCTCAAAGAAGGAAACAGCATGTTCACTTACATTCTGAAGCATACTCTTACAAGTCAAGTAAGAAATCATTTGTGACATTGGCAGCTGCCTGCAGTTGTTGGTCACAACCATCTCATGCCCTGTTGAAATCCTCACAGCAGCCATGGTGCAGGGACTAATGGGTGCAGCTTGCATTGGTCTTGTCGTCTTAGCACGTGATGAGCATTCGCTTCCGGTTCTTTTCCTCTTCTCCGTCTCTACTGACACACAGCTTCCAGGCTGCAGGGGTGTAAGCAGGGTTCAGTCCCAGGTCCTCCTCTGTCTGCCTTGCTGTGGTGACCTCCCTAGTCCCACTGAAGATCTGCAGGCAGACTCAGCTCCAGACTCCCAGCTATCTTCTGGATATTTCCATGGTAGGACGGAGTTGACATCCTTACACATGGGCAGGTGTGAACAGAGAATTAATGTCTTCCTGGAATCTTGTCTCCCCAGTACCAGGCCTTCCTCTTGTCCTCATGATGTCTCTCGTGATGGTGTCACTAGACAGCTGGTGGCCCACCCAATGTCTCCAGACCTTGGATTCCTCTTCATTGTTGCTGCCAGGATTACTGGATTTCTGGCAAGCAGCTCTAGCCTCTTCATCATGTTGACTGCCCCGTCTAAGACTCCAACACCTACTAGACAATTCTGCTTTTGCTTCTCCCAGGACACACTGCTCCCTGTGCCTCCCTATGTATGCTGGGTTATTTTATTTTGCCAACTTGGCACAACTGAGGTCAGTCTGGGAAGAGAGAACCTTAATGGAGAAAATGTCTCCATCAGATTGGCCTGTAGGCAGATGGGGCATTGTCTTCATCAATGGTTGTTGTGGGAGGGTCCATCCCATTGTGGGTGATGGCACAGGTGGTCCTGAATTACAGTAAGAAAGCAAGACGAGCAAGCTGTAAGAACAATCCAGTAAGCTGCGTTCCTCTACAGTCTGTGCTTCAGTTTCTGCTTCTGACCCTGCCCTGGCTTCCACAGTGATGGCTAATGGTCAGGACATGGAAGTCATAAGCCCCATCTTCTCCAAGTTGCTTTGGTCATAGTGTTCATCACAGCAGCAGGCAGCAAACTAGGGCACTGTGACAAGCCATCAAGGACCTTTGCTGACCTTGGAATGAAACCCCTGCCTCACCAAGCCCCTGGGAAGAACTGACTCTGCAGCCCCAGCGCCCCACCCCCTTCTTACTCCAAGCTCCCTGTAGTTGCTTGGCCCCTCCTGGTTCAGGCTCCTTTTGCCCCTTCCCTGTGCTCTTCCCAGCTGTTGTCTTGGCTAGTTCCTTTACACACAGGGTTTCCCTTTCAGTTATGACTTCAGAGTTGTTCTCTATCTGCCCACACTACAGGTGCTAGGAGCCATCCATAACCTCTTAAAGTGACCAGAATTTGTAGTGTGTGTCCTGTGAACCCAGACCCAGCTGGTGCCATCCTTGGGGATCTCAACCTCAGGGAACTTCTCAGTATGTCTGAAAAGTGTCAAGAGCTGGTCCTAGAGGCTGGTGCCTTTGATTATTAGCTGCACATCTGTGGGAGGTTCTAGAAGCAGTTGAAGGAGCAGGATGGGAAGTCAGGCACTGCCTGTTAGCTAGCGTAGCTGCTCAGTGCAGGGCCTCATGTTGCTGTGGCCAGCCTGAGGGAACTCTGTGGGAGGGAACAGCTGTGGGGTTGGCCTAGACAGCCTTACAGTGAAGTGACCACAGTCAGGGTACTACTGGCTGCTTGTTCAGTAAGAGAATGGACTCCGGGTACTGTCCCTCTCTTAGTCACAGGCCATTGGGTACTGTTTACCCACTGGGTGACTGCTGGAGGATATTTTTCCTCTTCAGCTCATGGTGTTCTCTCAACTGTGGAGAAACCAAAGCCTATTGCAGAACGGTACAGTTCAGATCTAATTACTCCAGTCTGGGTTTCTCTGAGCCTTATTTTGCCCTCAAGCACACCCACTGAGAAAATCCCAGGTAGTAGACGAGGCTAAGGAAAGTTCAACCTGCTCTGCCTGAGCCAGGAGCAGATGTGTGACAGAAGTGTCTCAGCCAGCCAGTGCCACCCCTGATGCAGTGGGCAGGCAGAGCCTTCCCTGGATCGTGCACTTTCCCCCTTTACATCCTCTGGTTCTCATTGTTTAGATGATGGTGTCAGAGCCTGGGGAAGTAACCTGACAGCCGCACTTCTGAGCTGTGAACACGGCAGGGTATCAGAAAGTCGAAGTCTGTAATGTCTAGGCTTCCTGTGCTTTCTGCCAAGCAGCAGTTATAGGTAGATCCACTACAGAGTCTTCTAGTAACCGATGCCCTACGTAGTTAATCCACAAGAGAAGGGGCTTATTTTGACACACAGTTTGAAGGTTTCAGTTAGACCTCTCCTGGTGAGTATAGCACATCATGGTAGGAGCCCATGATAGTAACACTGGTTACCTCTTGATGGACACCAAAACAAGAGAGGAAGGGGCATGCCTGTTAGTGACCTAAGCTCTGCCTCTTAAAGGTGCCAGCACCTCTCACAGCACCCTAGGCTTATCACAGCTGGGCCACTGAGAGGAAGCTAGTGGTTGTTGTCAGTACCTACTATATATGGAGTTGTTGGAAAGTGAGGGGAGCAAACTTTATTACTTGGTTGGGGCTGATGTTATATAATCTCAGCATAGTAATGCTACCTCTCGCAGAACGAAGCTGCCTGATTGGATGAAGCACAATTCCAGTTTTCCTAACCTTACAATGAAAAAGAAAGGTATCAAGACCCAGCTCAGAACTTAGCCTCTTCTGCCTAACAGGGTCACTCAGGTGTGAATGTCCGCTTCCTTGTTAAGATGATATTAAGATAACAGAGGCCCAGACAATACAGAGTACATGGTCTCTGGCATAAAAGCCCTTGTCAGAGGAGCACTGGAGAATAGCTCCCACTAACCTCATTTTCCTTCCCTGGTTTTTGTTTGGCCATCGTCTTGGTTCTTATATCCCTGCCTAGTATCTAACTCTGACTCTTTCCCTATGTTTGGAGATAGCTCTGCTCGCTATGAGAGTTGGAAGGTGGACTGTGGGCATACTGAACCTGAGCTTGGGCTGGAGAGTGTGGAATTGGTCCTGGCAATCAGCATTATATCTGTTTCTAGTGCCACGTGGGAAAGACATAGTAACATTGTGGCCGATGGAGAAGACACTGACTGTGGGACCTGTGCTTTGGGAACTGGATCTGAGTGAGGGTTATGGCAGCACAGCATCCCTTACACTGCCTATTTTCTGAGCTGACCCTCATGTTTTGAGGAATCTGTGAGGTGTCAACAGTTCTGGGTGAAGTTCTTAATTTGAATCAGCCAAAGTATATTTCTGTTGCTTAAAACTAAGAAGCAGAGTTCTATAGAGAGGTTGTGCTATAGTTACTTATGGGTGTTATTTATTTTCAGCTACTTGATTATCTTCAGGAGTCTCAGAATTTAACGTAAGACAGAAGCCAGTTTAGGGGTGGTGAGACAATGGACTCATCCAATATCCCTTCACTGTGGATCTGACCAGATGAAGCAGTTTGGTCCCTAGAAGACAGAATCAGCCTCCCATTTGTAGCCTCAGCTCTGGAGGTGCCCAACACTAGCAGATAGTCAGGAGAGTTTAGATGAAGTTGTCTTGCTATGCCCTCTACTGTTTCTTTGCCCCTAACTTTACAAGTTGCAAATATAATATGCATACTGATTTTGCTTGAACTATGTGTGTGTGTGTTTGTGTGTGTTTGTGTGTGTGTGTGTGTATTGGTGTGTTGTGTATGTGGTGTATACATGCTACATGTGAGTGAACAGGTATACCTTCCCATGTGGGCAGGTTGGGTGACACTTCCTGGGGCGGCATGTGTTTATTTGACCTCAGATACCATTAAAAACCAACTTAGTGAACTAAGAAGTTCAGGGTCACTTACAGGAGCATCGGTGCTGGGAAGGAAGCTGCTTCCCGGAAACCCCACTCACTCGCCAGCGTGGGTGATGTCAGTAATCCACAGCCCTGGAGCATTCTGTGCAACTTGCAGGCCGAGCTTAGAGCCTTCTGGTCTGGGTCTCCTCAGAAGTCCTTACTGCTTATGCAAATTTGGGGAGGGGACAGCCTTATCTATTTGATCAATTTCTGGGACTTCCTGACAAAGTTTTTATGAGTCTTAAAAGGAGCTTCCCTCCAGGATGGCAAGTTTGCTACACAAAAGGAGGCCAGAGCAGGGTGTAGGGCATCTTCATCTGTTGCTATCTCTTACTGACTTGAGGCTTACAGTTGACTCCGCTGCCTGTCTCTGTTCCCCAGTGCTGGGGCTATGGGCATGTTCGGGCACACTGGGCCTAGTGTGTGGGTGCTGGAGATCTGAGCACAAGCCCTCATGGATGCAGTATTATCACTCACCCACTGAGCCTCTCCCCAGCCCTGAGATTTCTTTTATTTCCTTTGTTCCATTCCTTCCTGATCACAGTTGTTCTTCTTGCAGAGGTCTCCTGCGTGGACGGAGGAGTGTGGCCCTTTCTGAAGAAATCCTCCCAGCATCCTCTATCAAAGATGCGTCAGCTCAAAGGGAAGCCAAAGAAAGAGACATCCAAGGACAAGAAGGAGCGGAAGCAGGCCATGCAGGAGGCCCGGCAGCAGATCACCACTGTGGTGCTGCCTACCTTGGCTGTAGTGGTGCTCCTCATTGTAGTGTTTGTGTATGTGGCCACGCGCCCCGCCGTCACCGAGTGAGCACCTCCATTCTAGCTTTCCCTGCAGAGATGTCCACAATGCCAAGCTCTGAGCAGGAGTGCCCTGTCTCCTCTGGTCTTTGACTTGATCAACATTTCTCTACTTTTGGGAGGGAGGGAATAGGGAACATTTTATCAGCGAATGTGCCATTTACCTGATGGTCCACTTCATGTGCCTTTCAGACTTCAAAGCAGTGTGTGTGTGTGTGTGTGTGTGTGTGTCCCTTTTCCTCCTGAAATCAATGCATAGCTGCACCTGGGGAGAGCATCTCCAGGTGATGCTGTTGGGATGAGCCGCCCTCCTGTCCAGCAGCATGCTTCCCTGCCCCCGTTCACAACTTTCTAAGGGGACAGCCTTTCTTCTCTGTGCTTGATGGGATTTGAAATATGGTGATTCAAAGTGAAATATTTATTTTTTGAATAAAGGAGATAATAGTCTTAAACTGAGTATTTATCTTTTTTGTGTGTCCCTTGTCCCAGCCTTGCCTCATTGTCTACCCCCTCTTCCTGGCTGCTCCTGCCTCCCTTTTCACTTGCTGCTATTCCATACTTGCAGGGAATGATGTGTTTTGACTGAGTAAGTCTAGAGAGGGACCAGTTGAGTGCTAATTGACCTCCTTTTGCAAACTCATTGGAGTATGGCCACATAGGCTTCCTTGCTGGTTAGCCGTTTTTTGCTGGCTGGCACATTTGCAAATGGAAACACCTTAGTCCACTCGGTAAAAGGTCAGGCTTTAGTCATTCCAGGTTTTAAATGCAAATTTGCCAAACATCTTATCCCAGCAGCGGGTTTCCCAGTTCCTGGTGCCTGATGGAGCTGCCTCCTTGGAAACCAGGTTCCTGGTGCTCTGTCCTGCTGATTACAGAGATGTTTGCAAGGAGAGAAGGGTTTTCCAAATACAGTGATGGACACATGTCTGGCTGAAGGCACAGGTGTTACTAGGTATTTGGAGACTCTTGGAGAGAGCCTTTCCTGAAGAGAAAATGAAAGACTCCAGCTGATGTCTGCAGATGCTGACTTGGGTGAGCAGGTTGGCTCAACCTCTTCTGCCCAAGTGTCAGTGGCCCTGTATAGAGATTTACTAAAAACCTGAGTGGGCCACTCAGGGTTCTCTCTTGAGCTTGTGCCCAATACATTCAGCCTCTTTCTGTGAACTGTAGTTTCTAGAGGTGACATAAAATGTCTTTACCTGGATCTGTATCCTCAGTAACTTAGGCGTTGTCTCTCAAGAATTCACACAAAACCCACAGTGTACTGCAGAAGATGGGAAAGGTTTACTACAAAAGGGGCTTTTTCTAGAGGGGAGGTGGTCAATGGCCAAGAGACCACCATACTAAACTGCATGCTTAGGTAGGCTTTCCTGAGGCATGTTTTTCCTATCCAGGTGCTTGACAGGCTTATGCGGATTAACTCAGGGAACAATGATACATCTTTGTTCTTCACCAGAAAGAGCTTCCTGCTCAACAGTAACCATGAACTTCCTTGTAGTGCAGATTGTCGTGTCTCCACTCTGCCCCAGATATCCGACTCAGATCCTGAACTTTCAGTTCCCAATTTTACATGCTGTGCATTTTGAGGAAGGGGCCCATGCTAATGAGCTTCAAGTTGCTACTCTACTACCTAGCAAAGGAGGTGAACCTAGAGGACCAGCTCCAGAGGCCACAATCTCCATAATGGTGTGTTGTGTTTCAATGGATTCTCTCAACTCAGCATTGCCCAAGTGTATTGGAACAGGCCTCCCCTGGTGAGATCTGTGCAGCATCTTAGATGCTGTTAGAAGATGAGTCCAGCATCCACTACAGGGTACCTAACAGGCATACTCACAAGCCTTCATCCAGGTGAAGAGGAGCCAGGCCCAGGAGACATGGAGAGAGATGTCTGTCCTGTGGGCTCCTTATGTAAACATTTGAGGGTTCTTTGATCTTCCAGATTTTGAGTTATCTAAAAATATGAGTTTGGGGCAGCAAAGGTATTTGTGGATTCCACTGCTTTGGCTTCTTAGCTAAGCAGGCTCAGGTTCCTAAACCTGACCTGTAGAGAGCCACATCTGTTCATTTTACCTTTGAGATGGTAAGAGGATACATTGAAACACAAAACCAACATAGCATCCTATCCAGTACATCTCGGGAGCTCAACAAATGCCCATTTCTGCTCTTGTCAGTGTGTGCAGACCCTCACAGCATACAATGGAGTCCTGCTCCCCAGGCATCTCTTAGCAGCTTAGATTCCAGGATATACATGTGATGGGCTTTTAAGTCCTACCTGACTCTTTTTTTTTTTTTTTTTGAGATAGTAGAAACTTTGCTATTCTTCATACATTAAGCTGCTTCTGTTTTATTTATTTTTAGATTTAATATATATATATAGTCCAGTCAAGTCATTATCCCCCTCCTGGTCTACCCTCCAAATGTTCCCCTTTCCACTCCCCCTTCCCTGTCTCTAAAAGGACATTTCCATTCCCCATCCCACCCCACCAGACTTCTCCACTCCCTGGGGCCTCAAGTCTCTTGAGAGTTAGGTGCTTGTTCTGTGGAAGGACACACAGATTTGAACTGGCTCCCCAGAGTCAGTGGCTAGGCATGCTCAGGGAAGGTGGGCTGGAAGTGGACTTTTAAAATTAATATAATCTTGTGGGTGACCCCCTGACCTGCATGAAAAGTTGGTTTGCTGTGGATCTGCTAGGTGGAAGCTTACCAATTCTCAGGGTAAATTGTGCTCACTCGTGTGGCTCACTTGGTAATTCCAAATTATCCCCAGTGACTCAGTGGTTTCGTGAAGAAATCAAATCATTTATTACGAGTGTCAGAGTCCTGCTGATGTTTGTGCAGTGGGATATGGAGCTCTTGGTGCTTAGTCCTTATTACTGAGCATGTTCCAGAAGAGAAATCAGGTTGGAAATAGGAATAGGAAGCATAAATGGTATCATTTAATTTTTTTTTTGTCTCTAAATCAATGCTTCTCTGTGTGTTTGTTTACCTATTCTTTGGCTAAGCAAAGTCACCATGACCCATCAGTACAGTTGCTGGTGTGTGAAACTAAGTGTGAAGAATTCAGACCCAGTCTTTTCTCAGTGTGACACTGGCGAAGTGCCTATGTGGCTATGCCTGGCTATAGATTCTCATATCATCTCAGACACCTCCCAGAGTTTCTCTGAGGACTAAAACGTCACACAGAGCTCAGAGACCCAGGAGCCCTGAAGAGAGAAGTGTCCAGGGAACCTGCATGGCCTGGCCACTTGCTGCATGCTATGTGACTGTGCTGGTTACTTACGAGCCTGCACTGAGCGAGCAAGGATCAGTTTAATGAGTCTGAGGCTGCCTCTTCTAATTCCTCCCTGGCTAGTTCAGAGAGTGGGCGGCATGTTCCCCTCTCTGCTTCCTGAGGCAGCCAGGCTCACCTGTGAATTGGAGATGCTGACACTTGTGTTGGGTTATTGGCAAGATTAAACAAATGGCTTTCCCTGATCCCCCAGAGGATCTTGTATCATCATTTACTTGCTAGAGGAGAGAAAAAGGAAGTGCCTTGGTTATGTTCACCATCATGTGTGTCAGCATCCTCTGCAGCTATTTCTTGATGCTGTCTCTTGTGGCAAGTCTGCTGATGTTACCGGGAATGTGGTTTCTGTCTGCAGGGGCCATGCCAATTCTGTGTTCTCTATGGTATTTGCCACATACCACTGTATAAGCATCAGATATTAGATATAGTATCTTCAGATTAAGAAAATATATGAGAGCTGCCTTCTAAATCCTTCCGGAATGTTTGCAGTAAGAGTGGAGATGTGCAGGGTTTGCAGGTGACTGTCCCTGTCCTCATGTTTCTGATATTAGGAAGACCAAGTGTGCCCATCTGGCTTGCCCTGCCTACTCAGTTGGGCCCTACTTTCTTCTGATAAGTCTTTTGTGGAGTATCTTGCCCTCCACAGAAAACTTCCTTGACATTAATATGTATCAGGTGCTGGCCTGTGTTATTTCTCTGCCAGTTCTTTGGGAAAGAACAATCTTTTCAAAAAGCTTTTAATCACTTCAGCTGCTAAATCATAATCACTGTGGATCTCAGAGAGTTCCTGAATGCTTGGTAAAAATGGTAAGACTCTAGCTAAGCCTCTCTACTTCCCTTGGCATTTTCCTTCCCACTGTTTCCTCAAAGTTGTCTGTCTTTGAACTCTCCCAGCAAGAACATTGTTTTCAACTTTTGAATATTCCTTTTCCAATATGGGTCACCTGGCTATTTCAGAAGGCCTGTTAAGTTTCTGGGATCAGATCTGGCTCTCACGTTGCCAGCTGGTTCAGAATGGAATAAATTAAGAAAGCTTGCCATGAAATTCTTTTGCAAACTCCTCCATTTTGAAACAAATCTACTTCCAGCTTTGTAACTGGCTGCTTGAACGCCCAGCCGGCCTGTTTCAGTCTCTGCACTTAGAATCAGCAGACCTTAAACTGCCTGCTTCAAACAATCCTTCCAGATTGGCGTGCCAAAGACATAGTCACATCTACAAAGAGATACATAATGCAGAAGTGTACAACAGAGATAGAGAAGATGGCGAGAGATGAGGCAGGCATACAGGAACAAAATCCATGGCAACACTTGTAACAGCAATGAAATAAGAAAAGGTAGGATAGATGTGTCACGAGGGGTGGAAGGTGGCAGATACGAGGCAGGCATGAAGTGATTGAAGATATGTGGGTTGATAATCTGGCCTCAAATGTATGTGAAGTGAGTGATGACTGAAGCAACTGAAGATCAAGATAATAAAACTAGTAAGTTTGATCTGGTAGATAAATAGACATGACAAAGCAATATTTCCTCAACAAGAAGTGTACAATCTTAAGAACACACTTGGAAACATTAACACAAATTGGCTTAGTTTCTAAGTTGGCTGAAAAATATAAATCAAAGGCTTCAAAAGTTTCGGCAAGCGCTGAGCAAGACAGACACAGGAATCCACAGAGTTACCTCCATCAGTTCATTGGGAACCAGAAATAAACTGTGGATGTGGAAAGCAGATTGGCATGGTCACGAGCTCTGTGGCTCTTTCCTGGGTGACCACTTTGGTCTTAGGTGCTCACAGTACGGTAGCCTTGTGTTGGCTACTATTCTTGGCTTTGGCTACCTACCAGTGAGTAGACTGTACAGTTCCTGTTTTTCTATGATGTGCATTCTAGTGAGTGATAGCTAACACAGGACAGTAACACAGAAGCCTTTGTGAACGAGGAGGGCAGCATTGGAGACAATTTTATTACGAATATTTTATTGAGAAACTGTAAGATTATGAAGTTCAAACATCCAAGGGAGAAATAGCACAAATACAGCAAAAGGATTTTCACTGGGGTTTAGCATCACCTGTTCCGTGGCTATGTTTCTGAGATTATGGCTTTAGAATAGCTGGCACAAGTTGGAAGTGGGGGGAGAAAGTGAGAGGGGACATAAAATCTCATGCACAGTCCAG